CAGAGTCGAGTCCCGCGGGCCAGAAGCCGGCTGTCCCTCTCCGCGTCGCCGCCGCCGCCGCCTGGCACCGTGGAGCTGGGGCCCCCTTTCGCCTGGGAGTTTTGTAGCCGCCTGGGGTCAGCGGTGACATCCCAAAGGGCTGGCCCGGCAGCCGCCATGGTGGCCAAGGATTACCCCTTCTACCTCACGGTCAAGAGGGCGAACTGCAGCCTGGAGGTGCCCCCGGCCAGCGGTCCCGCCAAGGACGCCGAGGTAGGGCCGCTCCTCCACCTGGACCGTGAGGATCCAGCTGCCGTCTCTGTCTGCCTCCCTCCCGCTCTCGGCGCCCTCTGTGTCACTGTCTCTCCGTTTCCATCTCTCACCCCGTGTCTGCCGTTCTCTCTCCATCTCTCACATGCTCTCTGACCCTCCCTCCCGTCCCTTCCCTGGGGGTCAGGCGTGAGCGTTCTCCCCTGTCCCGGCCCCTGGGAGCCGCTGCCTCTCGCGCCCCGGCGGGCGCGGGTCTAGCAGAGTCAGGCAGAAGCAAGGTACCGGCGAGCCCAGATGTCAGGGAAGAGCTCCCTTTTAACGAGTGCTTCCTTTTGCCCGAGTTAGGAGAGCAGAAGGAGGTTCTTGGGGACCCCTGCAGCTGTTTGGCAGCAAAGGCAGGACCCAGCACCTCAGCTTGTCACCTGTGGCTAGTGGGGGTCATTCGTTCGGAGGTCTAAGCTAAACGAGTAATTCCAGTGTCTCCCGCATGGATCCTGCAAATGAATCACACGCCTCAGGGCGATGGGACGTTGCCTGGGAACACTGGAAACATTTCTCTTTCTGAGGACTTTACTGTGCCTTGAGGGCCGTGTGAGGGGGTTCTCCCACTTCGCCTTTAGTCTGCCTTTTCCTCCTGTGCGAGATTTCTCTGGCAGATAGCTCCCTGGCCTTAAAGATTGGGCTTAGCTGGAGGAGACAGTGTCCCTCTTTCTTGGCGGGTCTTTGAGAATACAGTGGACCTCAGCTTTGCTTTGGCCACGCTAGAAGTGGAACCCACAGGAATGGCTCATCACTGTCACTCCTGTGTGCATCTGGGGGATCTCCACTCCCCCCCACAGTCACTCAGCATTGCCGACGTAACCACCACCACCGGAAAGTCTGGAGGCAGGTGTGCATCTCGCCTTGTCGCAGCCTTCTTGGGATTCCAGCCACCCACCACCCTTGAGTCTGCTCTGCTGCGTGCATTGAGCCCAGCGAATTATCTATACTTGGAAGGATGGCATCAAAGATGCATTGCCTCTCCCAGGCGCTGCTCCCAGCTGATCAGACTCCGGTCTCTGGTCTCTCTGGTCATATTCAGCTTTCTGTAAACAGTGCAAACTACCTTTGCCCTACTCACCCCTACACCAGCTCAATTAAATATGTTCACAAAGAGTTCTTGTTCCCAGCAGCTGTGGAAGTGTGATGTCCCTCATGGCATTTGGATTCTTATTTAAGTTTCGGCAGTACAACACCTGCATAGAATTCAAGCCGTTCAGGCTTGGAATGAATATAATGATTTTTCAATGAAGAAAACATAATTTAAGGAATTGTTGGAGCAGTGGGGCTGGTAACTCCTCAAACTTTGGAATGAAGTATAATCATTTTAATTCATCAATTGAAGTGGGCCAAAGAAAAGACTAGTGAACATAGCTCGGTACTCTTAACTAGGCTCTTCTTACTATTACTTAGCCCTGTGTTTTTGAGTAGTTGGAAGCTTTACGTCAAACTCATCTGCTTAATGATCTATTCTTACAGATAGACTTTAGAGCTGTTTATGACACAGACACGATGGAAGAAAGGTATTAAAATGTCACATACCAATTTTCTTCCCTGGAAGCTGGATCTAGATGATAAAATACAATTCATTTTTCCTTTACAGAGATGTCCTGGTATCAGAGTAAGGGTGGGGGAGGAATAATTCTGGAACTGGTAAATATTTTGGAAATAGGTGGGAACAATTTTAGAACTAGTAAAATAGTTGGATTTTTGTTAGCTTCTTAGTGTTTAAATCAGAGTAGAAGTCTGTTTTATGTATCTTGAGCCAGAGATCTCTTAGCTTCATTGAGCTAGCTTATCATTTCCCGATAATGGAAATAGATAAGTTGGAAAAAGAAACCTATGTGAGTTTTGGGGGGTAGTTTTCCACTTTCATTCTCAATGCACAAGACAGCCAACCCCTTGTAGGCCTCACTTCTCCATAAGCAGTTAGCTGTTCAGTGAAATATATTTTCTACCAGTAGGTGTCATTAGTATTGTAAATCTTTAGAAAACAGCATTCGCTCGTCTGTCTTTTGAAAATCATGATTATATAACTGTTGATAAACCTGGCACTGACTATTAATTGTTCTGGAAGTGTTTTTGTTTTTTTGTTTTTTGGGGTTTTTTTTGAGATTATTTTCTTTGTAGGAAGGATGTGGTCATAATAAAAAGAAAAATGTGTCTATCCAAAGGCCTTTTCAGGACAGTAGGACTTGTTGACCTTCATAGGCAATAGCAGTGGGCACCTGTGCCCTTTGAGACACATAACGGATTGCTTTCAAAGGTGCTGGGGGGAGGACAGCATACACAGCCCAGTCCTGGCAAGTGCCTTCCAGTATCCACTCCTGTCTTTGCAGGGACTGTACTGGGAAGACCACTTAGGAAAAGGCTCCCAGGAAAGGGAGAATGTCCTTGATGTGCATTTGATACCATACAGTTAGTTTTGATGAGTGAAAAATGCAAAAAACAAAAACCACCCATTTCTCTCAAAGGCAATGATAACATTTCTACTCAAAGTGTGAGTGCTTGGTAACTTCTTAAATTTCAGTGATCATCCCCAGTATCAGCAAAAAATGATCTACTTGTACATGTAGTTTTTATTTTGTTTAAATGATCTGTTTGTGACCAGAGAAGACATTCTCCATGGATTTTGATATTGTATGTTTATGAATATAATAGTGCTTCTTAATCTGGGATTTCTTAGGGCCTGAGTATGAGCTGGGTTGCAAATGTTTAATCTGAAAACTCATAACGAGCTGGATCCTTCCAGCTCTAATAATTAACCATGAAATCTAGGCAGCTTAGTCTATAACTCTAGACTCTCACAGGAAAACAGGGTATATAATGCGAACGCCATTACATTTATTTCTTCTGATCGTTGATTCAGCCTTGTTCATTTTATCTCCGTTTTCATATTTGTTTAGTTGTTTCCTTCTCATTACCAAGAGGGACTGGTCTTTCTGGACATGTTAGGTGTTGTGAACACTTGCTTAAGTCACCATAAGGAAGAGTGGTAGCTCTAATGAATCACAGTCATTGTAAGTTAAAAACCATGATTTCTCCCTGGTGAGGTTTGCGTTTAAAGAACAAGGCTCAGGTGGGTGTATACATTGGCTACAGATAAAAAAGAGCCTAATGAAAAACTTAAGAATTCGATTCATTTTGTTGGGACCAGTGGATGGGGTAATGGTTATGTTGCTGGACCCTCACGTAGTCAACCGCAGTTTGAGTCCTGGACCTGGCAGCTTAAAATTCATGCTGTGTGTGTGTGTGTGTGTGTGTGTGCGCACACACGCAAAATCCTGAGAGAAGATTGGAGGAGAAGGGATTATGATGTGGTGTGAGGATGATTTCTCACTTTCTGTCTCTCTGTCTCTCTGCAAGCACACCCAAAAAATCTCTCTCAGAAAAAAAATTTGATTAATTTTATTTTTTAAAATTTATTATTATTATTTTATTTAACTTTACTTATTCATTTATTTATTTTAACTTGACCAGAGAGAGAGAGAGAGAGAGAGAGACACACAGAGAGAGAAAGAGAGAAAGCAAGC